AGAGTGCCGCGGCAGGCAGATCCGCCATCTGCATTCAGTGAATTTTTGTCTTCGGGCTAAGGTGTGACCTGTCTTTCGCACATGGGTATCCAGCCTGCTCGGCCATGTGAGACACGCCTTCCCTAGCTGAGGCGTCTGGGCGGTCTCGTCAGACAGCAGTGGCCGGAGACGAATCTGCTCTGCTCTATATTTGCACCTGTTTTGTTTAGTTTTGGAATAAATTAAAATAAGAAATTGTGAGACTCCAGCTCTGTGCTGTGTCACATTTGCTGCGCTACTCAGGGTTCCTTGCAATTCTGTACGCGCTTCAGTTGGATTTACCTGTTTCTTCAGAAATGGTTACTGTCACTTTGCTAGAGATAGCTTTTGTTTCGACACCTTAAAAACACAAAGTGTCGAAACAAAAACAAAAACACAGTGTCCAGTATCGACACCTTAAAAACACAAAGTGTCCAGTTGGTGAACTTCATGTGTGTGGCATCCCTTGTGTTTCTGTGATTTTCAGCTTTGTTTCAGTTACTGACCAAGTCTTCCTTTTGCTTGCTGGGACTTGGCTTCTGCATTTCACTACCTTAGATGTTAGTGTAAATGAATGGCTAGTTTGTGTTGGCCTTACCAATAATAGAAGCCAATTTATTGATTTTTTTTTTTAAAGATCTATATTTACGTATGCATATGAGAACTGGAGTGTAGGCCAGCGCTGCAGGGGGTGAGAGGATTCACTAGAGACGGTGGGGAGCAGAAGAGGTGTTTCAGTATCTTCTGAAATCCACCGCTGAGGGGAGCAGCGGGGAGACCGGAGAGGTCTGCTGCGCCCTGGGGGTCCCTCCCTGGCCGGGATTGGACTGCAGCTGCAGGGGCTGCGGATGGCTTCAGTGCTGACACTTAACTCTTGCATCATGAGGCAGGGAGGCCCCAACAAGTGACTTATAAATGTTTTAAGACTCATGCTCTTAGCCACTGAGCTATCCAGATCATCCAACGGATGTTTTCATATCCTGACTTATGAATCATTAAAGAACCTGGCAGGTGTGTGTGTGTGTGTGTGTGTGTGTGTGTGTGTGTGTGTGTGTGTGTGTGTGTG